GAGGAGGAGGGGGGCCGGGGTTGTGTCAGAACACTGCCAGTCAGTGCCCGGCTGCGACTGAGCCCGGAGCCCGACCGCCGCATGCTCTCCTCTCCCGTTTCTCCATTCGTGGCTGTTTCCCGTAGGAGTGAGCTCTAGGCACCAGCAAATGAAGACACAGGGTGGGGGTCTGGGGAAGATGATAGAGTCCAATATTTCCTTATGGGATAAAAGCAAAAATTTTACTCCAGCAGTACTCGCACTTGAAAAACTCCCACGTACAATCGCTTTTCCCTCGACACCCAGGCGAGACAGAGCCTCAGTACTGAGAGGCGAAGAGGGGCAGGATTGCTGCCGGCCCCACACCGGTCCCTCCTGGACAGGGCGGGCGAGGTGGGGTGCAGCGACTGCGGGCGTACGCAATCCCTCTGGTAACCCCGCTAAGGGTTAATTCGGGCCCCGTGAGTACCACGGCTCCTTTGAAGGGCTTCTGGCAGCGGTGTAAGAAACAGAAGGTAAACGGACCCTTAAGACGAATGTTTGCAGAAAGGAATAGCCAGACCATCTCGCCTCACCTAGGCTGAGCAGAGGGTGCTCCCACCGCCGTGCGAGCGGGCAGGACAGGCAGCGCCGTGCTCGGCGAACGGGGACACGGAAACCCACGAGTGGGGTAGGAGGTCCCGGCGCTTTGCTGTGGCGGCTTGTGCAAGCGTCACCGAAGAATCCCGAAATGAAACGGGTGCAAGACGAGCCACGTGAAGTGCGCAACACACCGACTCCCACGCCGCCAAGCAGCAGGAGAAGGAAGACCTGACGTCCCCCTTCCGAGCGCTCGGAGGTCCCAACACGGAGCGCTTGTTGCGGTGACCTTAGAAACCGCTTCTCCCAACAGCCCGCCGTTGTGTTCCAGTACACTGCTTTGTTCACCGTACCCATCATTCACTTCCCTCACGTTCCACAATCTGCTTGCCATAAAACGACACGCAAACGCGCACGCACAGAGAGCGCTTCTCCGACACACGCATCGCACCGAGCCTTGCAGAAACACACACCGCGCCGGGCTCCCGACGAGGAGAGGGCATCCGAAACACGCATTACGTTTTCAGTCCTCGACGCAGACATCGCCGTGCACTGCTCCGTACACACCGCTCCGCGCCGGAGGAGGAACACGCAGCAATACTCCGACCGACAGCAACATCGCTGAGCGCCCAGCGACACACACCTCGCTCCGCGCCCCGAAGCAGCTCACGCCGCTCCGCGCCGCGCTTTTTTCCGCCCCCGCGCCGGTTGCCGGCCCCGCCCCCCCCCCAAGCACGTCGCTCCGCGCCTGACGCCCGAGCATTTTAGAACAACAGGCCGAGGGACCCGCACACCGCTCAGCGCCCCGCCGCGCACCCACCGCCCGGGGTACTGCACAGCCACGGCTCTGCGCCTCCGGAAGCACGCGTGGTGATAGCAGCGACGATTTCCATGTCTTTGTTAACAGAGAGATGCAAAAACGTCCTCCCACAGCAAGTTCTTCCCAGAATAGGATATTTTCCGTCCAGTCCTTAAGCCAGAGAACACAGGAACAGCGCATTTCGGTGCGAACTCTCCTCCCTTCCCCCTCCGCCGCGTTTTTCCTCCGCGAAAGCGGCTGAAACGGCACCGCCAATCCCTGGTCAGGGCGGGCTTTTTCAATACTTGAAGTTCCTTTTCTCTCTCACCGCGAACAAAAGCAACGGGAGAGCTCAGGGCTATTTTCGCGTCAGTAACCCAACCCCGCCTCCCCCGAAGAGGCAAAACCATTGAAGGAGACACCTTAAGAGAAATAATACAATGTATTAGACGTGGCTCAGCAGTAGCACGCCTGACAATTGTGTTACTTTTGTTACAAAATATGTTATTAAAAAAGCATACATCCGATTTTTATCAAATCGTCAAACCAATTACTCGCCAAAAAGATGCAAAAGTCTACACTTCCCTAAAGCCGCCGCGTTCTACCGTGCTCGTTAGCGTTTCTTTCGGTAATCGTCGGGGAAAAAAAAGGCACAAAGGACCTCTAACGACTTACGAATTACCGGATCCTTGCTGCAGGCTACGGACGACCTCAGTGCCTCAGCTCCTTTAGGGAAAGTGTGGGTGGCTCTTAAAAGAGCCGTTGGATAACAAAGTTTGCAGAGCAGGACTCTTCCGGTAAAATTTACATCTTCTTGGGTGCCGCTTTCTTCGCCTTGACTGCCGCCCCTGCCGCCTTCTTGGGCTTGGCCGGGGCTGCCCGCTGCTTCGAGGTCCAGACGGCCGTGCGGCTGCTGCTGCCAGGCGAGCTGGCCAAGCACGCCGTCTTCCAGGGCACCAAGGCTGTCACCAAGTACACCAGCTCCAAATAAGCCACCCCTGCGCCCTATGCCAGAACTGCCCGATCCAAACACTTTTAAAAACCACCAATTCTTTCATTCGAAGAGTTCTGTCACTGGTGTTTTCCAGCAGTTATTTAACTTCTCTGCCTCGTATGTCTCGCTTGCGTAGTGTCCTACGGGACCAGTTTTTCACCGGTTATTGCAGTTTTTCCTGTATCACTCAGTCTGAAGTCTTAACCTGATGCTGTAAAACGCAAAAGGATAGAAACTTCGGAAACGCCCATGAGGAGGCAGCACGGGCTAAGAAATTGCAGTCGTTGATGCGCGATTACGCCTTGTCTATCTGAGTGTTAGTCTGTTTTGAAAACCTGAAGAACCTTTATATGAAATCTTGAAATTAAAAAATATTAGAAGATCGCTTAATCAGTTAAAGCACGTAGTAAGTAGTAAAACCAAGAGTGTTTCCTTACTAATTACTTAAACTCCTAAAGACACGTTAAAACTAAACTAGTGTACATCTATTACTGGTAACATAGAAGCTCATGGTATGAAAACAGGGAAAGGAGGTAGACCACGGCTCAAGTCAGCTGAATAGAAGAGCAAGCACCCGAACCACTTTCCCTTTCAGGACACCAGGGACTTTCCCTGAGCAACAGCACGCAGGAAGCAGACAGCACTGGGAACGTACCCTGCGAACAGCTGGCAATCGAAGCAGCCTACAAGAGCACACACGCAACGGGCAGTGTGAGGAAGACTCACCTGTAGTAGATGGGTTCAGCAAGGCAGAAAGAGCCACATATAGCATACAGATCACAAGTAGTGACCATAGACAGGAGTTATGCCCTTAGCAGTAAACTGTTCTACGGCTTGTACATCACTGGGATGGAACACTTATTAATATATTCAGAACATATCACTAGTAAAATTGGAGTAAAGCGCTGAAATTAAAGCTCTTTTAATGAATAGGTGAGTGGCTCTTAAAAGAGCCTTTGGGTTAAAAGGGGCGGTCCGAGACGCTCTACTTGGAGCTGGTGTACTTGGTGACAGCCTTGGTGCCCTCGGAGACGGCGTGCTTGGCCAGCTCGCCGGGCAGCAGCAGCCGCACGGCCGTCTGGATCTCCCGCGAGGTGATGGTCGAGCGCTTGTTGTAGTGCGCCAGGCGCGAGGCCTCGCCGGCGATGCGCTCGAAGATGTCGTTGACGAACGAGTTCATGATGCCCATGGCCTTGGATGAGATGCCCGTGTCCGGGTGCACCTGCTTCAGCACCTTGTACACGTAGATCGAGTAGCTCTCCTTGCGGCTCTTCTTGCGCTTCTTGTCGCCCTTCTTCTGTGTCTTGGTCACTGCCTTCTTGGAGCCCTTCTTGGGCGCGGGGGCAGACTTCGCCGGCTCAGGCATTGCTGCGAACGCACTACCCTCACTCACCAACAAACCACGACACCGAAGCACCGGGTAGCGCTGCTGCCTTGGGAGCCCCTTTTATAGCGGCGCTGGGCAAAGCAGCAGCTCGAAGGCATCGCATCGCCATTGGTTGGGAGCTCCAATGCCGGTCCCTACCCCCATCCAGGCTTTGCCATTGGACACTGCTGGATTCGCGCTCCCATTGGCAGCCGCAACAAACCCCCCTCTTTTCCCTTTCAC